CCTTCTAGGGGAGGATTCTTTTTGGAAAGACTATGGTAAGGACTTTAGTGTGACTGGAAGGATAATTGGAGTGTGGGGAGGGTCTTGGTGGCAGGGAGACCTGATGGGAAGGATGTTGCAATAGTCCACCTAAGGAAGAGGCAGTAAGGTTCGTTTGTTCGTTTTTTTTTATTTTATTTTTTATTTTTTTCTTTTTGACCCCTTTTACCCCATATACCTCTTTCTTCTCCTTTTCCCCTACCCTCTGGTAACCACTAATCTATTTGTTTGTTTGTTTTTAATCGAGGGACAACATACATTTGGTTAAGTGCATAAAGTTTGCTAGGTGAACAGCTCCATGACTTTTTACCTGTGTGTGTACTGTGTCTCTAATAGCTCTCTCAAGATGTAGAACATTTCCAGCCTTCTTAAAATTCCCTGGTGCCCCACAAGGAGATCTTGAACTAAGGCATGAAAATTCACTAGTAGGTCTAGACGGAAGCCAGAAAATAAGGTGGAGCGAAAGATGACTTCAACCTTGGAAGACTGGGTAGACTGCATGGTAATTTTGTCAACCAAGTAGATAATATAGGAGGATCAGGCGCTAATTGAGGGAGGAGTTAGGATGGTGAGATGAGTTCAGATTTAGATTTGTTGAGTTCGGGATGTCTAAGTGGAGCTATGTAGAAGGCGGGTGGAAATGTAAATTTGGAGTTCTGGAAAAAAATTAGGGACCGAAATGTAGATTTGTGCGTAGTCATCAGCATGTCAAGTCCATTTGAGATCTAACAGGTAGATGAGACTTCTCTGGAGAGGCTGTAGACTGAGATGATCTGAAGCTATGATAAGAGGCGTGTGTTGCTTTTATTAACTTTGTTTTAGTCTAAATAGTGAATCTGAGAAAATTTGGCTTAAATACTTAGAAAATAAAACAATAAACAAAAATTCAATAATATATAACTTTTTGTTAAAAATGAAACCTAAATTGGTCGGAGGGCTCTAAGTAGGAAGTGTGCGTCCTCCACCCATTTCACTCCCCACTCCAGTTTCTTTTGGCTCTTTCTAGACAATTTTAGTGCATATAACGTTTATGGTTTTATCTTTTTTTCTTTAAATATTTCTTTCGGCGGGGAGGGGTCACCACACTTCTACGGAATCGTAGGTCTTTTACATTGTTACACGCATCGTGCCGTGAACGCACAGGAATGGGTTCCCGCAGCACAGGCCCCTCTCCATCGGCTCTCAGCGGTGAGCTGCTCTGGGGGGGGCGGGCCAGCGCCCCAGTGGAACCCGGGCACTTCCTCTCTTCTTTTTTTGATCATTTTCCTACACACGTTTCAGGAAGCTGTCTCGGCTTAATGTGCTTAATGTGCTCAGTATGTACATTAATTCTCTTGGCAAGAACCTTGCCCTTAACCTGTTTACAATACCAACCGCATGCGGGTAACGCTGTAGGCAGTTCAGCTTTGCCATGGGAACAGTGGTGGGGCTTTCCTTTTAAACAGTGCCCATCCCCTAGATGTCTGCGACATCACCTTTCTTGTAGTTTCTCACGCATGCGGCCAAAGGAACAACTCCACGTTTTCTGAAAGGCCTGGAGAACACAGAGCGGGAGCTTCTACCCTCCCCTTCGTGTTGGTCATTTTGGCGAATTACTGGAAGATGACGGTTCTGGCCTATAGGAAGGCTGTGGATTTATATACTGTCCCATTATTGCTTTGGTCAGGAGTGCCTTTTCAGCTCCTTATAACAATATGGTTGATAGCCTACAGGCATGTAAACAAAATGGTTTTTTAGTTTGAGTTTTTGGTCTTTTCCTCTAATGTGTTTTATGGTAATGTATTTATATAGTCTTGACTGAAAAAAATTTCCTTTGCCTTTTTTTCTTTTGCATTTTCTTGAAAAATAATATTATTGTTCAAGTAAGCGCTTCTTGGTATTCCTTGGAGTTCTTAAATTTCCTACTAACAGAGTCACACCCTTGTCTGCTTAATGTGAACAGGCTGATTTTTTTTAACCTGGAGGGAGTGATATGCTTATATTTTTCTTGATTGCTTTGTTGACAGTGTAGTTCTCAAGTTAGAATGAATGAAAGGCCTCTTAAGAGCCTTCTTGAATGGAGAATCCAGAATTTGAAATACAATGTATGAGTTTATAGCCCATGTTTTGTTGAGAGTGAACTTGATCTCTAGTCCAGTTGAAACTAAAAGATATCAGATCTGGGTTCTAAAAATGTCCTAATATTAATTGTATGATCACTACAACTTACTTAACCCCTCTTATGACAGGGTACTTTTTGTTGAAAGAGCAAAGAGCATAATGTGAGTTTTCATTAATTCAACAAATATTTATTGAGCTCCTATAAGATGCCACTTTCTGTAATACTAATAGTAATAAAGAGAAACATTATTGAGTACTTACTATGTGTTAGCACTTAATAAATACTATCCTGAGTGCTAGATGTGCAATGATGAATAAAATAAGCCTGGTGCTTTCCCTTATGAAGTATTATACAAGCATATGATGGTAATACTATTATTTTTATTTGAATCATGTTGGAAAATTTAGCATCAGTACCTGAAGAACAAGTAATTTTGTTCTGAGTTCTAAGACTTTTTCACCTGTCAGAGGTTTGCATATCAGTTGGCCTTTCCATTCTGACCCTGCAGAGCGACCTATGTTTTTTACCAGAGTTCCATCCAACCAGCCCCATGAGTGAAACTCAAAGGGCAGACTCAGCAGGCACCAGACAGATCTACCTAGTATATAGAAACAAACACAGGGAGATAGCCAAAAGGAAGAGACAAAGAAACGTGTCCCAAATGAAAGAACAGGACAAAATTATAGAAAAAGAACTATTAACAAAATGGAGGCAAGCATTTTACCAGATACAAAGTTCAAAACACTGGTTATAACGATGCCAAATGAACTTAGTGGCAGACTGGATTAACCCAGTGAAAACTTACACAAAGAGAGAGAAACCATAAAAAAGAACCGGTCAGAAATGAAGAATACAATAATAAATGAAGAATACATTAGATGGAATTAACATCAGATTATCTGAAGCAAAGAGTGAGCTATGTTTTTGACTGAGGCCATATTTGGAAACTTTCTTCGTGGTTAAATCTCAGTTCCTTTAAAATGCATTTAATTTTAAATGCAGCTGTGATAGAATTGCTTCGTATTTCAAAGCAAACTAATGATTTAACTTTCTAGCAGTCCAACCAACTGTAAGCATTTACTTGGTCCTGCTGGTTTGGGTGTGTCTCAAATCCAGGCAGATATCTTTTAAACAGATCCCACCCACGTCATTCCTGACAAATAAATCAGCCACACATTTTAGACTTAGGAGGTCTTAAAATTGCCTCACTTCTTTTATGTTCAATTGTGAGAAAATAGTGTAAACAATTTCAGAGTTAAGGAGAGTTGAGTACTGGTATTAAACACAGTGTTCTTGTGGCAAAATATTTTTTAGAAAGAAAAGTAGAAATATTTTTTAGGTATCGTTTTTTAAAGAGATGATTAGAATGTTATTTTTCTTGTGTTTTAAGTGCTTTTTATTTTGTCTAGCTTAATAGCTTATTTATGTGTTACATTCGTTTTTAAATAATTTTCTGTCTTCATATATTGGCTCTTTTCTAGCTATTCTCTTTTAAGCATATTACAACTTTACTCCTGCATAAAAGTTTAAATATTAAATATTGTCGGAGACCTCCACCCCTTTGGAGAAGAGACTGATGAAGAACTAAATCAGTTGTACGAATAGTTCTTAGAAGTTCTTTAGGCCATCAAATTGAGTCACTACCAACAGATTCCATGTATCATGCTTACGTGAATGTCTTCCCTTTTTCAAATACAGCTATTTCTGTCCAAACTGTTCTAACTTGCAGCATTCAAGTAGTTTTCCCAAACAGACATTACCAGGACTTTACCAGTAATCTAAAACTTATTTAGCCCTTGGGTATATATATTACTTTCTATAGTTATGTAAATTTTTATTAATTTGTTCTTATTAGTTTACATGATGTCTTTGATCAAGTTGCCTTAGAAGGCGAGAAAGACTTATTTTTTTGGATAACTCTAATACAGTGCTCAGTTGAAAAATATGGTAAATTTTGATCAACCATCTCTTCACTGCAGTCAGTTGTTTCAAATAAGATTAAAATTAACACGAACTGCTCTAGTGGATTTTTTCTGTAAAACAAGATTCCCATTAAAATTGGCCAAAAAGTAAAAAGCTTTATGAGATCAGAAGTACAATAGCTTTGTATTTGTTAAAATTCAAGTATCCCAAAGGATGAAACCAGGGAAAATCTTCCAGTGTTTGAATGGATACTTAGAGGAAGAGGCAGAACAATTTCGTGACAGTTACTGATCACTCTAATGGTTTTTCCCCGTGTATTGGATTTCACTTTCTTTCTACTTTTAAACAGTGCTGGACCACTCTTATGTAAGTTTTTTACTCTTATGCATAATTTGTTTGTGTTACTACTGACAAGAAAGGCTAGTATGAACCACGGGTTTACACAGGGGCCTAATGCCGATATTTGGAATACAATGGCTGAGAGGGTTTAAGAACATACAGCAGTAAAATATTTACAAATATTTTATTCTAAAACTGAAATTACTTTTGATCATTTCATTTATAAGCTAATAAACTATTTTTCAGGATAAGTTTTCTTTTCGTTGACTTATGTTTTTTTGTTTTCTTTATTAGAATAAAGGAAATTATATATTCTCCAACCATGGCATTTTATAATTTATTTCATGAAGTCAAATAATGATAGAAATCAGGCATTGTTCTTAGAAAGTCCATCTCCCTCTGTTTTTCTTTGCTGTTTCTCTGAGGTATATATAACTTATTTCTACTGAAAAAAATTATGCCCTGCTTAGATCTTAGTGGGTTTTTTTTAATTAAGAAAATTCTGAAAATGTAGTTATACAAATGTGTGAGGACTTAGATTTTTCAGTAGAAATCTCTTTCTTGTGATTGAAATAAGCATTTTAAATCTCCCTTTTAGATCCATCATGTTACACAAAATGGAGGGCTATATAAAAGACCATTTAATGAAGCTTTTGAAGAAACACCAATGCTGGTTGCTGTGCTTACTTACGTGGGGTATGGTGTACTCACCCTCTTTGGATATCTTCGAGATTTCTTGAGGCATTGGAGAATTGAGAAGTGTCACCATGCAACAGAAAGAGAAGAACAAAAGGTAATGATTAGAGAATCTTTAATTCTGTAAATGGGAGCATTTTTTTTAGAAATCTTGGTATTTTCACCTATTTTTTTCTTTTGATATTTCAATACATATTAAAATAAAAATATTCCAGATGTAATTAAATGAAAACCATCCACAAAGGTGAAAACAAGGTTAATGGCATGGAGAGACTAAAGCATTCAACATATTTTTAATTTAATCATCACAAGAATCTATTCTTGTTTTATGGCTAAGAATGGTAAAATTCACAAGTTATGTAATGTTTCCTAAGATGCCTAGTTTCAGAGCTAGGCATATATGGACACAGAAGCCATGTTCTTTCTGTTCATGATACTGTATTGTATCTCAGGTTGCGTCTGCAGTCATCTGAAAAGATTGTGTGCTTTAGAACTCATGACGTGGTTTCTCAGAGACCCATTATACGTAGATGTCCGGTTCACCAATAAGCTCCTCCCCGCAAACAAGCACTAAAGCAGAATGGGGCTGAGCTCCTCTGTTTATGGTAGACAACAGCCTTGTGTTGGTAACAGTAAGTAGAGGTGATAATGTCTCTGGGGAAGGGGACCTAATGCACTTCACTTTGCTCTGTATACTCCTGGGCACTGCTAGAGTTTTGTATAATATACATATATTACTTGTTCTCAAAAACAAATACGGGTGAAAATGTCTGATTTTTACAAAAAACAAACTGGTTTGTTCTTGGCATGTGAGGTATAGAGAGGTTGTCCTCCAGCCCAGGGAATATACTGGAATAGAAAAGGAAATCAGAAGTTAGATTCTTTTTGTCCATCATCCCTCTTACTTTTGTGGGGTGTTAGAGGAGAGAGGCAGATGTCGTGGCAGCAAGGTCACCACTAGGAATGGATTGTGGTCAAGTACGTGGAAGGGGAAGAGGGCATCCAGATACATGGGAGAGGAGAGGACCTTGCCAGCACCAGGAAGCCAAAACCAATCAGTATATGGAGTGAAGATTCTGGCACTGCGAGAACTCAGGATCCAGGCATTCCTCTCTATCATCTTAACCATTCTGCACCTTCCCCAGCACCAGCACAGGCTGGACATCCTACTCCTTGTCCTGAAATGCTTACAAGTTAATTTCATTAATAAGGTATTTTCTTTTTCTTGAATATCTAATATAAGTAAAGCCTTGCATTCAGAACTCGATCCAGTTGGCTGAACCAATTTTCATCATTGAAAACCAGAACAAATTAAAAGTTTCTTTGATTCTCCTTTTTTTCCTACCTCTGTATATCCCCAACAGACTTTTGGGCTAGTGTGCATCCATAATATGTTGAGATTTTGTGTGTGTGTGTGTGTGTGTGTGTGTGTTTTATCCCTTAGGTATGGCTTACTTACTATAACCTACACTTACTGTGTTATATGATATTGCAATTACTTATTTACAGGCCAATGTCTTTCTACTAGACTGAGTTGATGGCAGTTATGATTAATGGGAGCTAAAGTTTTATTCACATATTCAAACTAGAAAACCTTTATCTACAGGAACCTGTCATAATGTCAACACACTGTAGAGACGTAATAATTGACATGTTGAGGTGGGGGTGGGGGAACGGCTGATTGTATAGAGAGTATTCCTGGCTGAGGGGATAGTGTAGGCAAAGGCATGAGGAGTGTTTGGGAGAACCTGGAATGTGGGTGTATGAGAAATTGTGTTTTGAATGTCAAACTCAGAAGTTCGTTAGGCAATGCGGAGTCCTGGTCAGTTTTTGAGCAGGAAAATGACTATAGAGTTTGCACAGCAGGTGCTCTGTCAAGTGCGATGAATGACTGACTGACTGAATGAATGAATGAATGGGAGGAAAGAAAGAGATGAGGATGATCTGAATTACTTTTTTTGTGAATGAGTACAATGTCTTTGGAACTTGTTTCATGTTTCAAGATAAATTGTTGGGACTAGCTGTCTGTACTTAAGTTGTGTGTGAAAAAATTGCAACATGGATTTTATTCTTAAGTAATTTCTAATTTTGTTGAGGAAACAAACACTTCAAACTTATGGGCTCTGTACAGGTAAATAGTGCATTGAATTGTATGCGGATGTAGAACAAAGAAGTAAACTGAGTAGCGTAGAGTGAGTCAGGAAACAGTTCTTGGAGGAATAGGATGAAATATATGGGACAGAGGGGAACATTTGCCTCTGCAGTTTGTTCAGAGGAGGACTGTACTGATTGATTCAAATTTATTTCAATAGGATTTTCACAGTCAATAACATCAGTTAAAACAGCTAGATTCTGCCATTTTCTTATAAAAATTCAGCCTTATGGTAGATCGTGTTTGTTTTCTGATGCTGGATTAGGTGTAGTCAGAGGGATAGGCAAATTTTAAAGTGTCACACTGGAAAGAGGTGAGGGAAAGTGCTTGTTTGGGATCATAAAATGCAAATATAATGTTGCCACTTCCTCATTTCACTGAATGAGAGTGGTATTCATAATCATGTCCTTGTTTTCTTCCTCATTGCTTTACAAAGGAGAGCCCGTTTTCACTGTTTATGCTAGTTCTTCATATGTTGCTTTGGGTAGTACTGAATCACATGATCCTACTAATAAAGATGAATTTGCACAGAATCTGTCCTACTTTATATAGATTGTATAAAATTCTTGGAATTCTTTGCTGCTTTATCCTCTGTTAACAGTGCTGTTTTGGATGAGAATTTGTTTTTCCAGCTTTGTTGTTTATTTCTTTTCTTTTTCTTTCTTTCTTTTTTTTTTTTGAGACGTGAAGCTAATCATCCAGAAACATGTATGTGATAGGTAAAGCAAAAGCTTGAATTAATGAAAATGTTCTAATATTCAGATAGGAAATACCTAGAAATCTAGGGAGTAAATTATGGTAGGTAGTTACCACACATTTACTAAACTTTAAAACATTTTGTCTCTATAGTTTGTTCATGATCAAATATTCAGAAATAGGAGGGATAGCACAGAGTAGGAAGGGACATTATATGTCCACATCCTGATATGTTTAATTTTCAACATACAAAAGACAGAAATTGATTGAAATACATTTATAGGAGTTTTTGGAAGGATTTTATTTTTGACCTCCTTAAAAAGTAGCTTACCTAAGAATTTAGTGATAATTGTCATTTTCGCAGTGTCTTTGGAAACTATTAATGTAGCATAGTTGCCTAATGTGTTAAGCTGAGGAGTACCAATTGGTTTGTCTTTTTTAGTTCTATGGATTTAAAAGAATACTGCTTTCCATTGTTTTGTGTTACATGTGGAGCCCTGGCCAGTGGTCATCTATTTTTTTTAATAGCTTTATTAAGGTATAATATACATACCATAAAAGTTACCTGTTTAAAATGTACAGTTCAGTGGTTTATACAGAGGTGCACAGCCAGCACCAAGTACACTCCTGCCTCGTTGCCATTGGCACTTGCTGTTCTCCTGCCAGGAAAGCTCTTCCCTCTGGTAGTGTCAGAGATACTTCTGTAGCTTCTTTTACCTTCTGTATTCTACCCTGGCCACCCTAGACAAATTTCAGCATGACTCCAGCATTTTACATCTCCCTTTCTTGTTTTATTTCTGTTCCATTAGCATTTTTTACTATCTAACATACTTTATATTTTATACATTGTTCTCATTTAGTATCCGTTATCTTTTTTTTTCTATTGTATACCCAGTGCCTAGAAGAGGGCTTGGCATGTATTAGACATTCAGTAAAGGTTTATGACATGAATGGTATTGTGAGTGGTGGTAATAACAATAGTGAAAAGTTTTCAATATTTTGAAGTATTCACAGTCAGGTATGTGTGTGTGAGAGAGAGAGACAGAGACAGAAAGAGAGCGTGAATATATATATGCACATATAGACATAGATGACTCAGTTTTAGATCTAGGCAAAACAAGTACCTTTAATCTTGAAATCTCATTTTATGCCTTCAGCAAGGAAGTGGCTTCCTGTCTATAGCATTAAAAACAGGAAAGAGCAAATAGTAGCATAACGTATATGAACAGTAGAGAAAGCTCTTAATTAATCATGGTTCAGAGATTTTCAATTCACTAGTCTAATAACCTTTAACAGGTTATTTCACCTAATTTTCTTCATTAAATAGAGGCAAAGACAGCATTGTTGGTTTATAAAGTAAATACTCCTAACTACAAATAGGGTGACTATTTTCAGCACTTCAGGCAGGAATTATTTTAGATTTTTAAATTCTCTTAGTTTAAGCTTTGAAACAATTTTGTTATGTTTCAGCCATTTCTGTATATATCTTATGAGGTTATTTCCTTCTCTAGCAAAGACATTAATGTATCTTGTTCTTTAATGCATCAGTTTCCTGGCTCTGCTTCTGACTGGTTCCGTAACTGGGAAAGCCATTTTTGCCTTTGTGTTAATAAGAATAATAGCTTCTGTAAGAAGGTGCAGGTATAGTTAAGAGAAAATATACGTAAGGCACTTGGGAACCTTGTTGCTATCTATGTGGTTATTCATCATCTTTATCATCATCATATAAAAGTATTTGGACATCCATGTTGGCCAGAATTGCTCTTAACAAACATGCACAATTGTTCTAAAGTCAACTTCTGAAAGTGGCAGCATCCAGCCTTTTCCCTTGTGTTCTTAAGGCCTGCGTAGGCACTAGACTAGATGGTCCTTGTTTGTTTTAAACAACATATAGGATGTTTGGAGAAGACTCACGTCAAATAGGCTTAAATAATAAAGGATATTTATTAGCTAATTGTTGAGATAACTCCAGACTACTTTTGGTAAGATCTTTACTGATCCCTAATTAACAAATCCATGAATCTGAATTTTTCTCTTTGAGGCTAGAGGCTAGACATAATCTAACTGGTGAATACTTCAAGCCCAGCAATCCAGAGTATAATCTCAACTAGGTATTGTTAGTCTCTACTTATCCTTTATGGTGCTAATAGAAGAGGTTTGTGAAGATCTTCAGGAAAAATGTCCATGAAGATAGTGTATTCTTAAGACTTGAAATTGACTGTCATTGCCACTCACCTATCTGTCAGGCACTGCCTGGGTAAGCACCCTTTTTACAATACTTGCTATATTGCAGGGGTCCCCAACCCCTCCAGGCTGCAGACTGGTACCAGTCCATGACCTGTTAGGAACCGGGCTGCACAGCAGGTGAGCAGTGGGCCAGTGAGCCAGTGAGCGAAGCTTCATCTGTGTTTGCAGCTGCTCCCCAGTGCTAGCATCGCTGCCTCAGCTCCACCTCAGATCATCAGGCGTTAGATTTTCAAAGGAGCAAAAAGACTGGGGACCGCTGCTGTATTACATTGTAACTTTGTATGCCTCTCCACTACACTAAGAGATCCTTGGGATTGTAGAGGTTTTATTCATTTTTATCCCCAGTGCCTAGCTTAGTGCCTGGAAAGTGTACTGCTCAGTAAATATTTGTTCAGTGACTGAGCAAAAGAGTATTAGGTTGGCCCTGACTGAAGTCATTTCACAGGAACTAAACTGAGGAGGAAGAAGAGGGAGATAAGCATGGGAGTGGAAGGCAGTGGATGAGAGTAGGCATAGTGGAGGGGTCATTGTTGCACAGAGGGGACTGTCTTGTTCTTTAATGAATCTGGAGTCTAGCAGAAAGTCTAAGTGTATATTGAGTGTTCAGTGAAAGATATTTGAATGGGTGAATGAAAAGACGGACTCTTCTAGTTTCACCCTCGTCCTAAAATATTTAAAGTGTATGAGATATTTTTGGAAAACAATATTCCTATTGCCTAGAACTGGAACCTTAAGTAGTGATTCTCTCCTGTCCCCTTTCTCACTTTATGGCTAAGCTGTGGGGATTTTGGTTAGCTTGCCTGCCCTTCAGATCTCACTACCAAACATTTCTAACTGCAGTCCAAGCTGCTCTCTGGAATTTAGCTAGGGGCTAAAAGGAAGCCTTATCTACCATTCTGTCCAATCCGCTTTTGGTCTCTAACATCCCTCCCAGTGACAAATTCTTCACTCCGCAAGTCTGTTCCCATCTCAGGGACTTAATTGTTCTGTCCCTGTAATGTTAGGGAGACGTAGAGCTCTCTGATCTTGGCAGTGTCTCTGTAGGATATTGGAACCCATCCCTTCCCCCCCAACCACAGACAGTTTTGTCACTGGTTACCCAAAGCTCTGCCTCATTCTGGCCTGCAGCCTGTTTTCTGTCTTGGGGTTTGATAACCTTTCTAGTAAATAGGACCAGACTCTAAGTTTTTTCCAATGTTTATAATGTAAACACAAAAAATATTGTTCTTTGTTGCTAATAAAAATTTGATCTACGGCCATGCCACCTGAACAAGCCCGATCCCAGCTGATCTTGGAAGCTAAGCAGGGTCGGGCCTGGTTAGTACTTGGATGGGAGACCACCTAGGAAGACCAGGTGCTGTAGGTGTAAAAAATAAATAAAAACATAAGGAATTGTAAGGCGACAACGTCCTTGCAATCTGTGAGGTCAACCAAGGGTTGCCTCGCCTAAAAAAATATTTGAGTTAATACCTATAAAATTAATGTGCAGTGTTTAGAAAGTTTATAAAGAAACAAGATTGGGAAGAGTACTAAGAAGATTGGGAATAGTACTAAGGATTGGAGATGACTTTTTTTGCTTTTTTTCTTAAGAAAATACATGGTGAATAATAGTCAAAAGAATTAGAATTCGATGTCTCTGTTCCAATTTTCATTTATCCAGTATTCTTGTTGGAAAAGCGTCAGACTATTTAATAAATTTCCAATTGTGGTAGACACATTTACGGATATTTTCTCATAAAGAAATGTGAATGTTGGAACCAGTTTCAAAAGAGATGGTATCAGATACTGCAAATTCCTAAGAGTACTTCCTGACTGCCAGGCTTTTTGTAAGGAAATTTTATCTATTGTGAGGCATATTTAAAAGGTGCTTTAGAGTCCAGTGTCATAGAAGGTTGTTAATTCTAAAGTTTTATGTAGAATCTTCTTTAGCAATGAAAATCTTTTATGGAATAAAGCTTAATCTTCGAATGTCTTTGATTAGTTTATTTAACAGATTATTTTAGATTGGCACCAAGCCTAGATCTGAGGGCTTGATGCTCAGTGGTTTGCTGACTGTAGTAAAACTGTGGTATAGAGTTTTTTTTGTTTGCTTTATTCTACCTTCAGGAGTTGAGATGATTCATGTGGTCTGGTCACATGTGTTCTGAGCAGTGATCATATACCATGTGGGATATAACATAATTCGTTCATTTTAGCTCCACTGTGATTTTATTTTTTACAGACTTTAGTATAATTTAACTTAGGGGAGGAAAGAAAGGCTTAGTCCATGGTCATGGGCATTCATTTTGAAAATCTTTTTTTATTTTGTGTTTTATTTTTAAAAACTGCCATCCAAGGAAAGAAAGCTGAGATAGGTATCTTTCTGTAACCTACCTCTTAGTGTTTCTTGTTTATCATTTTTCTTTCTCGTTTATCATTTTTCTTTGAATTTGTTTCATTTTGATCCTTGAAAATATGCTGAGAGTGAAATCTTAATTTTGGAATTCTTTTTTTGTTTGTTTGAAACTGGAATTATAGGGGTTTTATGGCATTTCCCCCAATCAATTTTTTTACGAGCAGCAGGGTGCAGCAGCCAAAGAGCAGTCTTTTCGAGTTTATTAGAAAGGAAAATACAGAATTATACAACTAAGTTTTACTTTTATGAGGCCTACTTTATTTTAATTTTGGCTCCACATTCATGCAGTCAGATAGTTACTTGTAACTATATGTCAGCCGTCAAAGCTACATGACTGTTGCCTTATTGAGTTGTTTTAAATAACCAGAATTAATGAATTTCAAAATGTCTTTCATATCAGTTAATTCAGTGTAATTGATCTCTCATTCTCAAGTACTCTTACAGTATGAAAAAGGAAGTTGTAAATTTTTTGAAAGTAACTCAGTTATTTCACCATTTTTTGGCAGGACTTTGTGTCATTGTATCAGGATTTTGAAAACTTCTATACACGGAACCTCTACATGAGGATTAGAGACAACTGGAATCGACCGATCTGTAGTGTGCCTGGAGCCAGGGTGGACATCATGGAGAGACAATCTCATGATTACAACTGGTCATTCAAGTGAGTCTTGGTTGGGAAATTATTTCTTGACAACAACAAAAAAAGAATTTCTTTATTTCAGAAAATATTCTGTTGCACATTTGACAGTATTCTGTCAAAACAACAGTAGAAGCTGAAAGAACAGTGCAACATGATTAGTTTCCTTGCCTGTTGTTTATTATTTTTGATAATTTTTTTAGTACCTTGATACTGTGTTGAGTTATAGTTGAAAACAAAATTTGACCTATTAAAACAAAACAAACAAAAAAACCCCCAAAGAATAACTGTCCTTTCTATTATGCCACTTACAGAATCAATTGTCTGAATTTATTTCTGGATATTTTGATTTCTCAAAGTATTCAAGGATATGTGGTATGTTTTTACTTAAATGGGTTGAATAGGTTAGAAAACTTTATATTCATAAAATTTAATTTTGTTTAGATTGCTCAGATATTACGATTGCATTGTCATTATATATATATACAAAAAAGACAGACAATACAGATAAACTGAAAGACCCCATGACAACTAACCACTATCCCTCTGTAAATCCACTCTCCCACAAATCCTCGCTCCCCTGACGTAACCGTTGTTACCAGTTTGTTGTGTATTATTTCGGATGTTTTCTGTGGGATATGTATGTAGTGTATCTACTGGAGTTACACACAGATAGTTTTCGATTTACAATAATGAGATCATACTGTAAAAATCATATGACATCTTGCTTTTTATTTAAATTGCTAACATATCAGTAACATCCTTGTGTATATTCACAGTAAGCTCATTATTTGTAGTGGCTACTTAGTATCCTACAGTATAGTGTATACCAGGTTAGGCTGCATCATCCTGTGTGAAAAACCCCAAAATCTCAGAGTGAATAGAGCTATACTTTATTTCTTGTCCACATTTCTTGTCCCTCTTAGATTGGTGGGGCTTTGGAACCATGTCATCCACACTTGGGGGCCCAGGCTGTCTGAGCTTCCCCCATGTAGAATGTCACTGGTTCGTGTGCCTGGAGAAGGAACATGGTCTATTGTAGTGACCCTTAAAGGATCCTTATGCATATATCCTTTCATATGCATGCGGGCATTGCTGACTCAAAGAGTATATATATCTTTTAATGGATAAGTGCTGCCAAACTGCCTTCCAAAAAATTTGTACTGGATATTCTTATCTACACTGTATGAGACTGTCTTGGCCAATACTAGATTTGGTCAGTTTTTAAATGTCATTATTGATAAGTGAAAATTGGTATTTTGTTTAAACTTCTATTGCCCTTATTGATAGTGTGTTTGAGCTGCTTTTCATTTAGACCATATTCTCTCCATTTCCTATATATGGTGCTTCCTTTTGTATTACCAGTACATTTATTATCATGTGTAAGTATTTGACTTGCTCATGAGTTTCATTAACTTTCATGCTGTGGAAATACAGGTACACAGGGAATACAATTAAAGGTGTTATAAACATGGGTTCCTACAACTATCTTGGATTTGCACGGAATACTGGATCATGTCAGGAAGCAGCCGCCAGAGTCCTAAAGGAGTATGGAGTTGGCGTGTGCAGCACTCGGCAGGAAATTGGTGAGTATAGGCTATGTTCGGCTAGCTGATAGTCTTAACTTTTTGCTCAGGATGGAATACTGATAAGAGAACTAGACTATTAAGTATCCAAATACATACTTTGCTGTGTAGTTTAGATCAAGTAAAGAATGCTTTATTTTTCTGAAGTGATGGATGATTTTAACACTTTAACACATATTGAGATACCTTTTTCTTTTCCGTTATGTTATACATACAGAATATATCTAGAAAAGTTCCATAAGTATTTGTTTAATTTGTAACTTTAATGTTGGCTTCATTTCCTTTTGCAAATGATAGTGGTTGAGAGTGCCACTTACCTTTATTGAGCCCATGGGCATATGAAGATTAATCTTTTTCCATACTGGTAATTTAGTGCTAATAAGAATTCCTACCATACAAGACTGTTTTAAGAATTAAGTAAGCTAATGCATATAAGCACTTGTAACATGGTAAACATTCAATAAATGCTAATTCTTCTTATTATAAGTCTAAAATATTGCAGATTTATATTAAGAGATTTAATTTATTTTAGTTCAAAAGAAGATTCCAGATCCTTCCGTTTTGTTCCAGAGAACTGATAACCATCAAAGTTATAAAGCATCTTTCTAGATATTTATTACTGTGAATCACACCAAAACTTAGTGAATTAAAATGACAATTCATTATTTCTCACTGGTCTAGAGTTTGGCACATACAGCTGGGTTGTTCCCAGTCAGAGTCCCCAAAGATGTGATTAAGGGAGCATTGACAACATATAGTAATCGTACATCTTTATAGCTCTTTATATTTTATAAAGTGCTTGAACATATTACCTCTTTTGATCTTCACAAAATGTCATGACGATGAGGTAGATAGAGCAAATATTATTATTGGTATTTAACAAATAAGAAACTGATGCCCAGAGAAGTTAAATTACTCGATTAAGCTTTAAGGACACATAGCATCCAAGTTCAGCAGTTTTCTTTCCCAGTAGCTTTTCTGTTTGCATATAGCTAGTATCATTGATCAGGGTTGTTTGACCCTTACAGATTTGAGTACTAATGTAAAATCATAATACAAATTTACCAGTCAGATCAGAGTGAAGGAAAGCGCTATTTAACCTGTCTTTTGGTACTTAACAAACCATTCCAAAACTTCGTGACTTAAAACAGAAACATACATTTATTAGCTTGTGATTCTGCAGTTTTGGGAGAATTTAACGTTGACCTCAGCTCCACTTGGTGTTGGGTGGAGCATTATGACTGAAGATTGAGTATCCAAGATGGCTTCACCCATAGATCTGCTCATTTGGGTAGTGGGATCAGCTGAGGGCTGACCCCCTACCTTAGTTTTTATCCTCCAGAGCCCCTCTCTCCACATGGTCTCTTTACAGCAGGCTAATTAGACTATTTTATGGGACAGCTAACTTCAAAAGTATGAAAGCAGATGTTGCTAGGCCTCTTAAGGCCTAGACCTAGAACTGCCATATATGAACTGGAATTGGAGAACTTGTTGGTAACCAGCCCACTTACAGAAATTCCACCACAGATGCTGAATCTGAATGTATTCAACTGTTGTGTTCTTTATGAGTCATTACCTTAGTCTGAAAATGTTCTTTATGAGCTTTTTACCTTAGCCCGAAAAGGTTATAACATGTAGACTATGATTTCTTTTTATAAAATAGCCAGGGATTTAAATTTGGGATTTGGTGGTATTGATTTCAATAACTTCTTTACACAGGGAACCTGGACAAGCATGAAGAACTAGAGAAGCTTGTGGCAAGTTTCTTGGGAGTAGAAGCTGCTATGGCATATGGCATGGGATTTGCAACAAATTCAATGAATTTTAGCAAAGTAAGACAGTCTGTCATTAATATATATCTTACTTTGTTTTGTAAAACATTCAGAGCAAGCCAGAAGCTATCATAAACTTTAGGCTAAACATAGTTTACCCAAAGATATTTCTGTCACACATTTTTGGATAAGCATATCCCTTGGAGACTTAGTTGAAGCTTTCTTGCTAGAATCCATGATCTTTTCCTCTTCCGTTAGATAAATCTTACCTTCTTGATTTCATACAGTTTTGAAGGGATTCTAATAAAACCTCATAAAAGACTAAAATTATGAAAGAAAAAATGTTTAGTTTTGAAAGTTATTTAACAGGTGGTTTTTTCCTAAGTAGAAAATAACAACAGTATATTCTCACTGTACTGCATGTTGCTCGGGTATATATCGACAGATTGTGTATGAGTGTGTATATGTTAATAATATAGGTTAATAATGTAGGTTAAAAGTAATATACATGCACATTGTGTGTATTTTCTGTGGATAGAGTTTGTGAGAGGATAGTGAAAAAGAGATGAGACATTGTAAATAACATTTTAGCAGATTGGCACTATCAGTTTGAAAGGTGCCTCAAGGTTATTCTCAATTTTAACATTGATATCTATGAATGGTGTATTGAAAAGAATAGTGAATTAATGAGTCAGAAGACTAGAGTTTTTGTTTGGTTGGTTATATGGTTAGATTTAGCTGTGGGACTGAACAATGTCACAACCTTTCTGAGCTCCAGATTTTTCTTTGTAAAATGAGGTGCTTGGATTAGGTTAACTCTAAAGTTCTTTTCAGTTATATAAATGTATGGTTTCCCAGGGAACAGATGGGAAAAATAGAAAACAAATCACCAGAGAGGACATTTAAACCCAACTATATTGATATCACATTAAATGTAAATGGTTTATATATTCCAGCCAGAAGACTGTCAGATTAGGTAAAATTAAGTAGGTTTCCACTAGAAACCTACTTTAAATTTAAAGACGGATCGGTTAAAAGTAAAAGGATAGAAAAAGATATAGCATGCAAACAATAATCAAAAGAAAGAGTGACTATATTAACCTAAAGATTTCAGAGCAAGGAATATTTGGGATAAGGAGGAACATTGCATAGTGATAAAAGAGTTAATCATTAAGAGGACAAAGAATTTTAAATGTATAGGCATCTAATAACAGCACTTCAAAGTACATGAAGCAAAAATTGATGAGACCAAAAGGGGAAATGGACAAATGCAGAATTGTAATTAGTGATCTCAGTTGTCTTCTCTCCATAACTGACAAAAGAACTGGAATGAAAATCAGTAAGGATATAGAACACTTGAAAAACACTGTCAACCAGCTTAACATTTACGAAACATTTCACCTAAAAGCAGCAAACCATTTACCAAGATAGACCATTTTCTAGGCCATTAAACAAGGCTTAACAAATTTAATAGAATTTAAATTATTCAAAATATGTTCTCTGACCATAATGGAATTAAATAGAAATCAGTAACACAAAGATCTGGAAAATCTTTGAATATTTGAAAACTAAACATTACACTTTTAAATAACCCATGGGTCAAAGAGAAACAAAATAAAATATACTTGAACTAATTTGAAATGTAACATGTCACAGTTTGTGGGATGAATCTAAAGCAATGCTCAGATGGAAATATATAGCTTTAAATGCTTATATTAGGAAAAAAGAGTTTGAGTCAGCCATCTAAACTTCTATCTTAACAAAATTAGAAAATGAAGAGCAAATTAAACCCAGAGATTCCAGAGGAAGGATACAATAAAGGTAAAGGCAGAAATCAGTGAAATAGAAAATAGACAACAGGAGACTCAGTGAATCCAAAGCTGATTCTTTGAGAAAGTGAATACAATTGATAAATCTCTAGCCAGACTGATTGTGATAAAAAGAGAAGACAAAAATTAACAGCAGGAGAGGGTACACCACTATACAGCTGGTAGACATTAAAAGGATAATAAGGAAATATAAAGAACAACTTTATGCCAGTAAATTCAACAACTTAGATACGATGGACAAATTCCTTGAAAGATATAAATGTATGGTTCTTCGACTTCACATTAATTATAATACATTGCTTTCCTGCATTTTGGCATCATAAACTTGAGATTCTTATTTGGAATTTCTTAGAATTTTTCCCATGAGAGAGTTAAATAATCTCATCTGACTTCTTGTGTGCTCACAAACTCTTAACAATCACTATTTAGAATTACATGCAGACATGAAAGATACTACCTTCAAGATTTATCTTCCAAGTCAAACATAGTTGAAATGTTCTTAAATATTAATCTACAAAAAAGGCAACAATCCAGTTTTAATATTTCTTTGAAGCTGATACTAAATTTCTATGTGAGGTGGTTGATTATTCTGCTTAAGGCAGGGGGAGGCAGTATATTGACTAGGAGCATGCATTCTGGAAGCAGAAACTTTGTATTGAGTCACTTACATGCTTGTGACCTTGGGCAAGATTCGTAACTGCTCTGAACAGGAGTTTTCACATATGTAAAATGGGGATAATAATAGTACTTACCTCACAGATTTGTTGTGAGGATTTAAAGTAATAAGGTGTTTAAAACCCTTAACATAATGCCTGAAACATTAATCACTTAGTTGTTAACTGCTGACATTTAATTTTTTTTTTGAACAAAGGATATCATAGAGCCTCATAGTAGATTAGAAGGAAAAACAATGATGACACATAGAAATGGTGAATAAGGTTGTCTAAAAAATAAAAAGGAGGTGATAAACAAAAAGAACACAATTACGTTGCAGATTTTGCCAGAAGAAAATTTAGCTGTAAAGAGAAGAAAATAAAATTGTATAGAGGGAAAGAATAGGGGGATCCTTTTCGGGTGTAGGGGAATGCCAAGAGCAGTTAGGTAAAGGATTTAGACTTTAAGGGAAATTCAGCCTTTCTTCATTTTTTTCCTGTTTCTCTCATTTTTTCTCCATTTCACTTATTTTCAATTTTAACACTTCTTTTCAAAGTTAAATCTAAACTTATAGAACAAGGGAGTACAGAGAGTTCCTCTATACCCTTCGTTCAACTTCTCTTTGTATTTATATCTTATATAACACTGGAACATTTATGAAACCTAAGAAACTAACCTTGATACGATACTATTAACTAAAGTATGGAACTTATTTCGGTTTCACCAATTTTTCCACTGATGCCGTATTTCTGTTCCAGTATCCAGTCAGGTACCCTCATCACATTTAGTTGTCATCTTTCCTTGTCTTTCATGACCTTGACTCTTCTCAAGGAAGAGGTGTTGCTTCTCTCATATTTATTTATATAAGTATGGATTTGTGAATATTTTATTATTTGGGTCCAACATGATTGCTTTTTATTTTTTAGCTCAAGTTCTAGTTTTGGCCATTGGGAGATTTTTCAGGTGGGCTCCTGTACCCTTTGAATATGCGCCATCTTTTTTTTTTTTTTTTTGCCTAAAGCACTTTCTTACTTCATAGCTTAACAAGATGCTCTAGGTTCTTTTACCTACCTTAGCCTTGGGGACAACCAATTAGTGCTCCACTGAGCCCCAGTTCATTTTATTGGAGGATGGTATTTAGAAACCAAGATCCGGTGTTTATTGCTGCTGGGGTGTCATCGCGTCTTGCTCCTCAGTGGATACATCTAGAAAAATATATGAATATATACTAACTCACATATACAGATATCCGTGTGCATGTGTATACATAACATACGTTTTAAAAACCATCAGTCCATTTTGGTACCAATTCTACTTCTCTTTGTTTTTAATCTACACACTTTTAACTAGGTAACATTTTTACTTAAAAATAACTTTGCACACGTAAAAATTTCAGACAGAAAACTACTATTACAAGTTTCTTAAGTATCCCTCCAGGATTATCCTGTAGTAAGTAGCCGTATGTATATGTGTCTATATCTTCTCTTTTTATTGTCATGGGAGTATGCTGATACTTTCTGCACTTTACTTTTTTCATCTAATTGGATATTTTGAGGTCGTTATTGACAGAAAAATACTATTTCTGAGTTCAAATCTTACTGGTTGGAGCCTGCATGAGATGTGGAAAGGTAAGAACTGGAAAAGAAATACAAATCCTGACTGCATCAGACTTTTCTTGTTGCCTTAGCAGAAGCCCATATTTACATGTTAAAGTAAAGCTCGTTCAAGAATTCTGAGGGCAAAACTGAGGCCTACACTCCATGTCGCTTAGGAACGAGAGGAAGAATGTACTGTATCCACAGACATTAGTCCCTCAGCTGCCTTTTCCCCAAAACTTTTTCCACGAATAAAATAGTACATCCTACCAAAATGCATGGAATTCCATCTACCAACAAAACTGAAAATCTATGAAAACTCTCTGATATGTCAGATTTTAGGTATAAATATTTGAATATATTTGAATATTTATGATCAGCTTAGGATGGAAGAAATTAAAAGGCTAGAATTTTGTATCTACTTCTAAGTTAATTTTGCAAAAAAATTATTATACATACTTTCTTGAAATTGGTAACTTTGCTGTTGTACAAGCTTTCCTTAATAAGATAAAATTATTATTAATGATTTTATTTCAGTAATTTGTATAACGAAACCTTCTCCCCCCAGCTTCTTACCTTCCTGTGCTTGTGGTTTTGCAGGGTTGCCTGATTCTGAGTGATGAACTGAACCACGCATCACTGGTTCTAGGAGCCAGACTCTCAGGAGCAACCATTCGAGTCTTCAAACACAACAGTGAGTTAGTTGTGAAAGTCACTGCTGGCCTTAGTTTTAATATTCTTTAGGTTGTGGCAGTAGTAACTTTACTTACATTAATATTAGAAAATTTAAGTGAAGTTGAAGTAGCAATGTGTAAAATGTCCTTCTAGTCCAATCTTTTAAAAATTATTCTCTTTTAAAAGTTATTCTCTTCTTCATTGTAATAAAAATAGAGGCTGAAGGAAACCTTTTGGTACAAATAGGACATTCTCCTTTCACTTGACTTTCAGCCTTTTTCCTTGTTTACAGGTCACTTGTTCAGTATGCATTTCCTACATGCCTCTGTGTCTCTGAGCATAACACTAGGGGTACTGAGATGAATAAAGCAGGATCCCTGATCTCAAGGATCTCTGAGACTATACACAAATCAATGGTGAGAATACAAAGGACAGGTACTGAAGTACAGATGTGAACAGATGCCATGAAAACACAGAGAAAAGTGGCAGGCACTAAGCCAAAACTTTCCTTAAGTGGAAATATCTTTTTGGGTTATTAAAATAATTATTTGCAATAAAAATGCATAACTTTCATCGTTAAAACAGTCACATGTAGGGAGGAAAGATTAACAAACTATATGTTTAATATCATCTTTTACTAAAACATGTACATGTCCAGACAAAAGTCTGGAAGAATATACACCCAAATGTTAGGTCTGTGCCCCTGGATGAAAGGTTTCTGGATAGTAATAATTTTCTTCCTTTTGTCTTTGTCTTGTCTAAAGTGTTTTGCAATGAGAATGATGCAAACTGTATTTTGTTTTATGTGAGTGGGATTCATTAAACACTGTCGTGTGACCTGCTCTTTTTTTTACAACACGTCGTGAATGCTGTCGGGCTCTTCTCTTCTAATGCCTGAGGGGCAGGCAGTGTCTGGAGGTGCCTTTAGTCCAGCTCTCAATTTGGACACTGAGGTTGCTTCTAAGTTTTTTTTACTAGAAACAGTACTACCTCTACCCACATTTTTGCTCAGTGGTCTGATTAGTGCCTTAGGATAAATTCCTAACAGAATTCCTGGTTCAAGGGGTACAAATATTTTTGTACTTTTCCAAATTGCCTCCAAGCACTGTACCAATATTTACTCAACAATGTGACTCTGACTCAAGCCAACATAGGCTGTTATGAATCATTTAAAAATTTTCCTACTCTAATAGGTCAATAACACGTTAATTTTTATTTTTTTGATTATTATCGAGCAACTTTTTATACGGTATTGTGTTTGCATTTCTTTGTAAATTGACCATTTTCAAATGGTTTCTCTTTTTTACTAAGAGCTCTTTATATTAATTATCCTTTCTTTTATATTGCAATATTTACTTTTTAACTCTGTTTTCAGTGTCTTGTGCAGACTTATTAAAATGTTTATGTTGCACGTTTATTGTCTTATGACTTGGATTTTATGTTAATGCCTTTCCTGTTCTAAGATAATAGGGTTATTTATCCTCTTATGCTTCTTCTGGTGGTTTTGTGGTACATTTATTTAAATCTTTATTTTACATGAGATACTGGATTTTTTTTTTTGCTAAGTTGATATAATGGTTAAGCATTCTATAGATATTTCATCTAAAAATTTGAATCAGTATTTATTTTCCTCTTCCTTGCTGCATGTAAACAGCGGAAACTAAAACAATGAGTACATTTTTCATTGTCTCTTGCTGATTGCCACTTATTGCCCTCTGCAGCTGGACTGGCGGCTTCAGATCAGACATTCTTCTGTGGCAGCATCTTCGATCTCTGGGTTAGGTAGCAGATTGTGTTGTTAGGAATAACTGAATGTGTAAACAGTCACAACCTTTGGCCATCTTGTTTGTGTTATATGCTTTTATTGCTTTATATCTCTTTTCTACCAAAGTCCTTTTATGAAAATAGCAAAATCATGTAACTTTGTAACCCTCTCCTTCAGTGATGAGCAGTAGAGACTATAAAACCAGGTTTTATGATAGGATGTCTCCCACTCCTGTTAAGTACACCCCAGACTCCATGTTGCAAAGATCTGGGCAGGGCTTCTTAAGGGCAATATTTCAGGACAAAAGTCTTAAGTATGAAGTCTAGTGGTGGCAACAGTGGTCTTCAAAGCATTTATCTTTAGCAGGAAGATTATGATTCTCATCAGTGGTCACACCAGCCAGGTCGTTTCTCAGCCCGTGAATCACCTTAGGGACCAGCAGAGCCACAAGAACTTGGTTGTGTACAGATAGCAGATGAAATCAAACATGGAACAGTCTCAGCTGATCGCCAAGTTTGCTTCACACTGAGATTCATGCATGCCCAAACTGGTATATATTTAACTCACCACCAAGATAAAGCGATTTAACAAGCATTTATTGAGTATATCCTGGTGAAAGGAAATGAGCATGTACTTGGAAGTCCCCCCCGCCCCCCCCCCCATATTTGCTTTTTCGGAGGTGTAACTATTTGTAGTAGCTTATTCATACTCTCTTGCTCGGTTTTCTGTATGTATTCATTTCTGAATGACTCACTAGGATTAAAGATACAGTTGATTTTGTAAATACAAAAAAAAACAACTACCCAAATGGCAAGGTATTTGACATGAAACAATGATCATTTCATAAGCATGCTAACCAGCTGACTCAGCTGTACCACAGCTGTTTATTGAGTTTGTGGTTTTGAACATTTGTCACATTTCAGATGAGATTTTAATTCAGACTTGGCAGTAGCTCACCCATTTTGCCCTATCTTTTTCTTCCCAGTTCAAATTTTGTTAATGTCTTTTGCTATCTGAGACACACCGCCTGAATAGGAAATGTATATTTGCATTTCTGGAATAAAGTTAGGAAAGAGGAAGTTACTTTATGTTGAAATTCTTTTGTCTGTGCTGTAGATATGCAAAGCCTAGAGAAACTATTGAAAGATGCCATTGTTTATGGTCAGCCTCGGACTCGAAGGCCCTGGAAGAAGATTCTAATCCTTGTGGAGGGAATATATAGGTAATCCTGCTTGATTATTATTACTTTCTGTTTTGGCTCCACGAAGTCATAGAATTTTTAAGCTGAAGGGAACGCTAAGCTAGACCCCTTTGGAAACTAAGGAGACAGTGTTTATGACTTGTTAAAATACCTGGAAGCAGAGTTAGCACTAGAACAGAAATCTTTTTGTCTTGACTCTTCTTTATTCTTCCCATCATGCTACATGGTCTCCAAATGCCCCTTCTGTTTAGGTCCTTTGTTTTTCTACCGTTTGTAGAGGGAATTTATACATAGAGGCAAGAATTGGAATATGTTTTCTAATATGTCAAAACAAATTACACACCATTTAATTTCAAATATTTTATTTTTGTTACCTCTTTTTTAGCCCTTGCATTTACTCTCTTACTTCCTAATGTTTTTTTTTTAATTCTTGTGTGTAATTTTAATTACAATGTGATTAAAGTCCAATGTTGCCTATAATTATACACTTTAGAAGAATCTGCTGTGACCTTTATTTCTCTCTAGTGAATTAAGATCCGTTGTGTTCTGGTGCTTATTTTAAAAGATCCAGTCTCCTTTCCCCTGGACATCGCTCTAGCTATGGCTTCATCTAACTTTGCCAGTTTAAAACTACAGGCAGAGTTGTTAGACCATTTTAAAAAGCAGTAAACTGAAAAAATTAATGATAATAAAGTGGCCAACTCCCAATTTTGAGAGTTAAGAAGTCTCAGTGTATGTATTTCTTACTCTATTTTGCCAGCATGGAGGGATCTATTGTTCGCCTTCCCGAAGTGATTGCCCTAAAGAAGAAATACAAGGCATACTTATATCTAGATGAAGCTCACAGCATTGGGGCTCTGGGCCCTACAGGTCGAGGTGTGGTAGATTACTTTGGTCTGGATCCTGAGGATGTGGACGTTATGATGGGAACATTCACCAAGAGCTTTGGTGCTTCTGGAGGATACATTGGAGGCAAGAAGGTAAATGGGCCGTGAGAATTGAGCAGTGAAGGGTAAAGGTACTGGCTACTAGATTTGCTTGTTCACATTTAGCAAGCAGAGTCCTGAACTGGGATGTGGAGATCCCGAATTCATTTGTGGCGTAGGCACACAGATGGTGCCTGCAGTTCACACTTCAGCTGCCTGGTGAGTGACTCTGATGCGCTAAAGGCTGGTTCTGTTCATTGTTTGCTGTTTTCTTATTTGAGCTTCATTCTAAATTACAGGCTGGTTGGCGATAAAGAATGCCCTCTTGTATGAAGAAGGCCACAAGTGGTGCTGCCTGTTTGCCACAGTCTTCTGCTAGATTTGAGTTGTGCTCATAATTTCAAAGTAGCGCAGTTGTCATGGGAGTCAATGGGTGTAGAAGACCAATTTCCCTGCCCTTGGACTCAAGTACATCATGGATGAGCATAGAAACAGGGAGAAAAAAGATTATTTTTCTAGCCTTTTTTTGTTTTGTTTTTAATTTAAAAATTATATAAACTCCAAGGCATTGGAGAATCAATGTGCCATGTTAGAAATCTTCAGCCCATGGAATCAGAGGCCTTTGTGAGACCTCGGGCAAAGCCTTTCAGTTTTCTCATCAGTAAAACAGATAAATATGCCTAGCTTATAAGATTGTAGTAAGGATTTAAAAACTGTATATCCATGTTACAATATGGATGAACCTTGAAAACATTATGTTAGGTTAAAGAAGCCAGTCACAAAAATTCACATGTTGTATTATTTCTTGTATATGGTATGTCCAGAATAGGCAAACCGTAGAGAAAGTAGGTTAATGGATGCCATGGGATGAGGGGAAGTAGAAAGTGACTGCTAATGGATACGAGGTTTCTTTTTGAGGTAATGAAAATGTTCTAGAACTAGGTAATGGTGAAAGTTGCACAGCTCTGAATATACCAAAAACGACTGATCGTACACTTTAAGAAAATAAATACTATGGTATGTGAATTATATCAATAAAATTGTTATTAAAAAATCCACAGTATTAGAGAAAAAAACAATGTATGTTAAGTGTTGTATGTGGCACATAGTGGGTGCTCATAAATGTCCTTAATTTCTCTTTAAAACTTGACATTGGAAGCCTTCAAACATGGACTTCTCTTAATAATTGATTGCCTTTTAGGAAAAATCCATCATTGGTGGTTTTAGTCAAGTTTAACAGATTTTTACCTCACAGTTTTGTTAATGGGACCTGGTTGATTTTGAAGAGTTGATTGCTTTTTGATAAGATTAGTTGCTAGACAAAGAGATAGAAAAATAATACTCTAGGAGATCATTTAAATATAGTATGTTTATGTTTTTGTGGGGTTTATACAATTTTTAGTATTTTTGAAGTGATACACTGTTTTATAGCCACATTTTATATCTTATTTGGTTCTGATACATAAGCTTTTTGCATGAACATTTAAAGAATTAGTAAAGTTAAAGGGTATCAGAATAGAGATAGACAACTGATTTTTTTGAAATCCTTGTATCTGACATACAAGGTTTTTCTTTATTCAATAAGATGGCTTTAGTGTTTTCATGAAAGGTCCAATAAATTTGTCACATTTAAATAATTTTATAAAGCTCGTGTATCTAGAGGATAGTTAATGCCTTTAAAATTGATGTTAACTGTCTTTCTCTGATTTAGGAATATAAAGATGGGCTTTGCAAACATGTAGTAAGAGGCAGATGATATTTTCTGTAATACATAAAAGTAAATGTATCTAAAAGTAATTACTTTCTTGTTTAATTCAGCATTATAGATCTGTTTATAACACTAAATGCTATGTTCTCCAAATTTAGAGGGCTTCTTTAAAACTAGTTTTTCATTCTTCCATGTTTTGGCATGTTTAAAAAGCAAAAATCAAAGCCTACGGACTATGTGTCTGATCCAGATGTTGCTGACAATGTGCTTTGGCCATGTTGGTTGACCTTGCCTCTCAGATTAGTGTCCCTATTCCAGCGCTGTTGACGGGAGGAGTCTGCTTTCTCCTGGAAGGGAGGCTGTGACGTTGCCAGGGAATTCCAGCATTGCCTCTAATGACCTGCTTTTGTGAACTCCCCAGGAGCTGATAGACTACCTGCGAACACATTCTCATAGTGCGGTGTACGCCACATCACTGTCACCACCTGTTGTGGAGCAGATCATCACCTCTATGAAGTGCATCATGGGGAAGGATGGCACCACCCTTGGTAAGTCTTTCTTTCCTTGAAATATTTCCTGGGCTCAGTAAATACTAAGCAACCAAACATACTCTTTTTCTTGAGCTTTTTTTTTTCTCCCCTAAAATGAGGAGCCAGGTATCCTAATCCGCAAGTTGGCCGGTGAGTGAGGCCTTGGTTTCTGTGGACCAGAAACCAAGTGTGTTTGATACACGTGCCATGAGAACAACCCTGGCTCGCTTCCTGTTGAATTTTCTTCCCTCAAATGGTGAAACTTTGATGTAACTATCCTATCTACCCTCATAAGTCACAAGTAATAAGCCTTCGGGGTCTTTCTTGAGTTGTACAATTTTATGTGAAGATGTTATTCACTGTATAGTGGTGTTTCATTCCCATAGTGTATAAAAGCTGCTGTTTCCATGAATTAGTGTCCTTGATTTAATGCCTTTTAAAAGAGTTTGTAATTTAACATACAGTAGCTAATAAAGGTCATCCCGAATCTGTTTATTCTGTCTTTGGTGGGATTTGTAGTCCAAACTAGATGCCCTGACTTAAACATACTAAAATGAACAGTGAAGTTTGAGGTGTGCTTTCTGATAGTTGGCTTTTATTCTGCATCACTAGAGGGCAGTGTTGACTGCAGAAAGTTATAATAAAAGGGGAGCAATTGGATTTTCTTTTTTTCACTTTTAAAAGTACAAGACATGTTAATTTTACTTGTTGCTTTTTTAATGCTTCTAAAGTCAGTTTTACTCTTGTAAAAGATCTCACATTCTCAGCCTATTTTGTGCTAAATAATATTTGGTTTGCATTGAAAAACAAGAAAGAAGTGGTATGTCTGATTTGATTGATTTAAGCCTGTTTTCTTAAATCAGAATTTTACCTTAATATTATTTCCTATCTGTGATTCATCCTTGTTATCTCTAGTGAGATATTTTTGGAAATAGATTTTAGAAGTGTTGATCATTTTCAGTTTCATTAATTCATTACGAAAGAAAATATTACTGCTGTGAACATAGCGTGGAGCCTTGTGAGTAGCTTCCTCTTAACAGTAGCTTCAGTGTTATCTTCTCTTTCTTAAACGATGTTATTAGAAATCGTGTGCTTCGATTTGAGATACCTGTGTGTATGGCACTAAGTTAGCTACATCACATAGGTGCATCAACCTTATTGATTCAGCACACAGGTGACTAAAAAATGAATGGCTAAAAGCTATTAAAGTTGGCTTTGGATAATTTCTTTGCCCTATTCTATAGCGTGGATCTGTGTGACACAGGACCTCTGTATAAATGATTTATCTGTGCTAAATGATGAAATCTAGGTGGCGAGGAAATGAAATATTGTAATTAGATATACGCTTTGGGTTAATATTCGATTTCTAGTTTATCTGTTGCCTCTCTCATGCCCCTAAGGGCATGACACAATAGCCATCTTATTGTGCTCACAGATTCTGCCGGTCAGGAATTCGGTCAGGGCACAGCAGGAAGGGCTTGTCTTTGCGATATCTGGGGCTTGAGCTCCGAAGACTCAAGCGACTGGGGAAGACTCAAATGGCTGCGGGTTGGGATCATCTGGAGGCTTCTTTACTCACATGTAACCTGGGTGGAGTCACTTGAAAGCTGGGCTCAGCTGAGGCCATTGTTGACCAGAACAGCTTTCCTTTTTGTAAGATGTAATGGTTTGGTTTACTTGTCCATTTTTTATTTCTCTGTTATGTAAAATTGTTTTCACCACAAGCAGTCCTTCCTGTGGAGCCATTCCAGGAGCCTTTCTCTCACCAAACTGGTGCTAAACCACCAGAGTTCCATTGCAGATGGAACTAAAGGCAGCGAAGAGTCACCAGAACTTAATTTCTTTTTCTTCTTCTTCCTTTTTTTTTTTTTTTTTGCCTCTGTCAGTTTCAGATAATTCAAAGAATTATAAGGCTAGGGGCTTTAAATAAGCTGCAGTTAACATGGCATCTTTTTGTTTTGCCTTTACACTTGGCCACTTGCACTACCATGTACATGTTCTAATCTCATTACCACTCATTCTACCTCACTTGGGACGCAGGTTCACCTTTCTGAATATACTATGTTTGAAAGATGTGTTGATTTTAAGATCGTGAATTTATATCTCTCCTCTAAGCTATTCTGTTATTGGAGTTTTTAGCATTTTATTTATGGTTGTAAATTTGAGACTTTTACTCAGAATTTCATTTTTGAGGCTGATTTAGGAACTTAAGGAGTTCATATTTTACCTCTGCTAAAGTATGTCTTCTTCTTTCTTGACTCAATATAGACCCTTGTTGATTTGCAGTGCAGGTGAAATGTTGTCATACAAAGTTTGTCTTTCATATGTCTTTTATTTTTAAATGTACATACTGTTTAAAGAAACTTCCTGCAACTTCTAGGGGTGGAGGGGGGCGGGATGGAGAATGTAGGGGGAAATTTGAGCATTCTGATCTTCCTGGGTGTTCTTGGTTTTCCCTGCTATCTTTAAGGCTAGGGGCAGGGGAAGAAAACTAAAAATTATAGGGTGAAAAATCATAGTAATTTTAAATGTATGTCACTAAATTCCATGAAGTAGAGCTGTAGTCATATGGCACAGTTAATATTTCTGAGCATATTTTTAAATCTTACTATAAATCACAGACTTACAGAAAAGTTTGAAATACAGCACAAAGAACTTTTTTTCCCTGAACCATTTAAAAGGAAATTGCCAGTTTGAAGCCCCAGCAACCCAAATGCTTTAGTGAGTATTTCCTGCAAAGACATTTTCCTACATAACCACAATACAACCATCCATAGCAGAAAGTTGACTCTAATACATTAAGTGATATAAACATGAAATCTAATTATTTCAATAACTAATACTGATACATTATAACTATTACTCAGACCCCATTTAGGTTTTACCAGTGTCCCAAGGATGCAGATAGGTTCAGAATCACATATTGCATTTAGTTGTCACCTCTCTTTAGTCTTCAGTCATCGTTCCTCAGTCTTTTGTTGACTTCCATGACATGGGCACCTTTAATTATTTTATTGAATATGCCTCAGTTTGGATTCAGTCAGTGTTCTCTCACGATTAAAGTTCACGATGTGTATCTTTAAGAGGAACAGCACAGAAGTTGTGCTGTGCCTTTCTCTGCATCCTCTTTGTCTTCTCAACTAAATGTATCACTATCTTTAGGGTGTTTATTCCTGAAATCTCAGTTTTCCTCAACCCAAGTTAAGTTTCGTTGATTCTGCCTCCCATTTCTGCTTATTCCCACTATCACATTACTATTTCAGGTCCTGATTACCTATTGCTTAAACTGTTGCCCCAAACCATAGCTGCCTTTTTCTTACTCCAGTCTTTCCTATACGCAATCCCTTGTTAATCTTCCTAACACATAGCTCTGTTTGTCATTGTCTGCTTAAAGATGCAGATATAGAAAATAACAATCTTTAGAAGCTCCCAGTTGCATACAGAATAGTCCACATTCTTTATATGATGCTCAGGATCCTCCGTAGAGGATTTATGAGTAATAATTTGTTTTTTAAAATACAAATGCAGTCTTTGATTTAACAGTGTTACTGATTTTTCTCATTGAGAAAATCTTCACATTTTTATGATACACTTGGTTTGGCCTTCACTGTCTTAGCCAGGTCCTCTTGTAACCAGAAGCAACCATACACATAAGCTAGCTTTCAAAGCCAGGGTAGCGATGGCTCCACAGATAATGGTAAAGCAGGTTAGACTTGAATTGAAATGTAAATACTTGCTTGCCTCTGCATACTTCAGTTGGGTTTTAGGGTTGTCCGTAATGTCTGTTGCAAGCAAAGCTATGACCTGTGTAGGATTGTAGGGCTTGTGGCCCCGTGTGTTCCTCACACAGTGGCTGGCTACTGTTCTCTGTGACCTTAGCATGATTTTTCTCTGTTTTTCCCCAAACCAGAATTAGTGGATCTGAAATAGTTGTTCTATAATGATAATACTGCGAACTATGAAATGTTGAACAAGTCTTTCATTTAAGATGAAGTCCAAACTAAAATATGGCTTGGGTTGTTGGGAGTTAAAAAAAAAAAACATGTAGCTTTGACACTTGGAAAACTTTTGTTTGTTTAACACAAATGTAGTGAAATATAATATTGTTTTTAATTAGTTTCTAGTTTTTAGGGTCAGCTAAAGCATGGAAGGTTTAACTATGGTTATAAACCAGATATAAACATCAAAAACCTTGACAATGTAAAACTAGCTGTGAGAAGGCAGGAGATGTAGAAAGAGGGGAAAGGGAGGTTGAGGGACATGCAAGTGTATCGGTTTCTAATATCATTCTTGGTGGAAACTCAATAGGTACAATCTTAAGTTTATAAATCCACACATTTTGAAGTTAAGACATAGTCTTGAAATTTATGAAGGTAACCAGCCACTAGAAGACTTAAAAATAGTAATATTACAAAAATTGATGGTGATTAGTGGAGGAAACATGGAAAGTAGTAGAAGTACAAATGCCTAATCTAGACACCATCTGGGCGGAGGGGGAACTTCTATTTTTCAGTTGATAATATCCTTTACTACTACTATTTTATTTTGCCATGTGAATGTTTCATTTGTAATTACAACTTTTTATTATTACATTCCAGAGAAAGTTAATAACTTATGGAAATGAATCCTGCTTAAAATAAAGATTGAAACTAAGGTTTAAACATATATTCAAATAGTATATAGTTGCTTGTTAATTAATATTTTCATCTTTTTTTGTGAGAAGACGTATTGCTCTTTGGGGACTAGAGTGTAGAGGCTTCAGAAAAGCTGCAGCATGCAAGGGAAGTTGACATCCATTCTTTCCCTGCTTTGTAAGCACTCCTTTCTTCCTCTCAACCTTTTCCACGTTTCCCCTCCAAATCCTGTTCTTTTCCCAAAGAGAGAGAGACGTGTGACTAGATTGATATAGATACCGAAAGGCACCATATTTAGGATCCAGAATCAGTCGACAGTGGATGAGAATTGTGCTGCCAGTGTGCTTGTATCTTGAGTGGACATACTGAGTTAGAACAGGCTGG